CGGCCGCCGCGCGGGTCCAGAGCAGATCCGCCGGATCGCCCGCTTCCAAAGACGCCGCGAAGGGGGGTTCGGGAGCCCCCCCCCCGCCCTCCGGGGATGCGGCGGGGGCCGCGTCGGCGTCGAGGTCGGCCTCCGGGAAGGAAAGCCCCATCACCCCCTCCCCGAAGTCGCGATAGCCGTGGAGCGAGGGGGGGGCGGCTCGCGGAGCGCCCCGGTCCTCGGCGTTTTCTTCGTGTGTCCCCTGCGTTTCCGTTTCCGTCGTCGTCGTGGCGTGGGGGGCTTCCCCGTCCTCGGCGTGCGCGAGGGGGATCGGGCCGCTCGAAAGAATCTCCGCATCCGGGAAGGCATCCGCCCAGACCTGGAGATCCCGCCAGGTCTGTCGGGTGGGCACCACGATCGCCTTCACGACGCGCCCCTCCCGCTCCAGTCGGACGATCAGCTCCGCCAGCGTCCGCTCGTTCAGCTCACAGGGGTTGTACAGCACGGTATACCCGCCTTCCCGCTCCGCGTAGCGAACGACGGCGTGCGCGAAGGATTCCTTCGTTTCCCCTTCGAGCTGCAGCCCGAGTCGCGCACTCGGGGAGGCGTTCGTGAGGCTTTCTTGATACGCGCGAAGGACCGCGTTAAAATAGGCCTGGGTGGCGTTGGGGTTCGCGACGGCCTCGTTCGCGCCCGGGAAGGGCACCCGGGAGGGTTTATAAGGCGCCTCGTGAAGCCGCTCCATGGAGTGCGGGAACGCGTCCTGCGAGGACACCCCATCCGACGAAGACGGCGGGGAGGCCGCGTCGAAGGAATCGTGCGCGACTCGGGGTGGATTCCCCGCCTCGCCCCCTCCGGCGGGGTCGAAAATGAGCATTCTCGCCTTTGCCGGAACGAGGTAATCGGTCACCACGCACATCGTGTTGTCGAGCTTGGAGAAGTCATCGCGCATGTAACGCAGGCCTTGCATGACTTTTAGGATGCCCTGCACCTCCTCGGTGGTGTGCATCTGCGGGGAGGGCTGGTCGGGGTTGCTTTGTTTTTCGATAAAGTAGGGGTGGGCGTAGAGGTCGGCCGGGTTTTTTCGGTTGAACCACACCGAAATCGCGGTGAGGCCTTGCGGGAAGGAGAGCCGACCCCGGCAGATGAAGGTGTTCGGCCGGTAGATATCCGTGATGTAGGAATAACTCCGACGGATGTGATCCTGCATCATGTACGCCGCTCTGGACATCATCTTGCCGACTTTTTCTGCCTATATATGTATAAATAAATAAATATATATATATATATATATAAATATAGTTGGTTATACCACCTCACTTTTGCAAAACAGGGTGGGATGGGAGGAGAGGACGCGTGCCTAAAGAATGTATCCTTGCTGTGCTTTCCTTCCTTTCTCCCCTTCTCCTCCTCCACCTCTTTGACAAGTATTGAGAGAAGAGAACCACTCTCTGCAAAGAAAAAATTGCCACAAATGGGAAACACCAAGATGTTCAAATAGAACAGTCCATCAAGTGTATGGATCCAAAAAAGCAATCAATCAAACAGTCATTACTTTTTTTTTGGGGGGGATGAGAAGGCAGAAATGTGCGATGATTTTGGATCCACATTCGGTTGTACTACAAATTTTTGTCTGTTTTTTTTGTGAATCTGGGGTTTTGGAAATAGACGCGCTCCTGGTATTCATCTTTCCAATCTCGCCTCGCGGCAAATGGCGAGAAGAAAAACCCACATACTAAACACCTCCCCTGTATAGCTCTTCACGTAGGTCCCGATGGCGAAACTCACGTCATCCGTTTGCACGTCATGCGCCGCCGTCTCAAAGACGCTCGTGAGAAGACGGAGGAAGTTGCTATCGGATGCCTCGTACGCGTCGTTCACGGGGGATCCCACCAGTTGCAGGCTGGATCGCGCGAGGCAACGACCGGGAGGTGGATCCTCGGCGTTTTCCTCTACCCTCGTAACCGAGGCCGAGTTGTGGCGGATCGTTTCACAATCCGCGTGATTCCAGGCATTTTCATCATGGAATACAATCGGTGGGGGGGGGAAGGCGGATGACGATGAGGATGGCAGATCCAACCCTGTTATCTTCACGGGCTCGCCAAAGAATTCGCTCAAACGGCTTTCCGCGCTCCGGCTGACGGCTGGATCGCGCGCGCTGCCGTGGCTGCAGCGCTCCTCCTCCGCGAGGACGAGAAGCTCCCGCAGGAGCGGCTCGACGCGGCGGTAAAACACGGGCGGACGTCGACGACGCCACCTCGGGAGCGCGGATTTGAGAAGCTCCTGGAGTTTGGCCTCGATTTGTTTCGCTTTGAGGGGGTTGCTTGGGGAAAACGAGAGGACCTCTCGCTGAATGGGGAAAAGCGTGGAAAATGCACCGTCGGTGGGGGTGAAACAGGGCAGCCAATGCGTCGAATTGGTGAGATCCCACAACAGGAGATGTGGGAGTCCGGTGTGCTGCAGATTCGCCCACATTTGATCATCCGAGAGCACCACGCTCACGTTTTTCAATCCGCTCCCAAAAGGCCGATCCACCGCGGCGATCCATCCTGTGCAGGGGTCGATCAAACACCCTTTTTTGCCTTCAAAGCGGCAGAACACCCGGGCGGTTCGCTGGCAGGTTTCACCGACGCCGATCACGACATACACCGCGGCCCCCCCGCCCGTGAGGTGGCGGAGAAAATGCACGAGAAGCAACGCCCGCTCCGCGGCGCTGCCGCCCCCCTGCGCGATCACCTCCTCGTTCGTTCCCCACCTTTCCACCCCGCCTTTCGCGCGCGACACCGACGAGGACGACAGCAACGCGACGTAGCGGACGGCCTCGCAGACCGTCCGCACCCCCGCCGGCGGCGGCCCCCCGCGCGGGAGGAGAAACCGACAGGCTAAAATCACCCCCCCCTCTTCAGAGGGGCGCCGGCCAAACGCGGCGATCGCGTGAGGCCCCTCGCGACCTCGCGCGGCCGCTTTTTTCATCCACGCGAGGCCGGCCTCATTCGCCCGACGAAGTAAGAGGGGGACGTCCAACCGCGCGCGAAGCTCCCGCATGAGGCCCGCGACCTCGGCCTTCGCCCTCGCCTTCGCGTCTGCCCCCCCTTTGGGTTCCCCCGTGAGGGGGGGGGGGGGGGTGAGGAAG